CAGCCTAAGATGGGCCGGCGGCTTAGCCGCCGGTATATGACATTCTGACCGCTTGCAGCCTAAGATGGGCCGGCGGCTTAGCCGCCGGTATATGACATTCTGACCGCTTGCAGCCTAAGATGGGCCGGCGGCTTAGCCGCCGATATATGACATTCTGACCGCTTGCAGCCTAAGATGGGCCGGCGGCTTAGCCGCCGATATATGACATTCTGACCGCTTGCAGCCTAAGATGGGCCGGCGGCTTAGCCGCCGGTATATGACATTCTGACCGCTTGCAGCCTAAGATGGGCCGGCGGCTTAGCCGCCGGTATATGACATTCTGACCGCTTGCAGTCTAAGATGGACCAACTTTCCTCACACTTACCTTGAGTGTTCTGGTGGAGAGGCGCCACACGAGCCGCTGGCGGTGCGGCGCGGCGCAGCGAGCCTCGTAGCGCGACACCACGTACTTGACGCGGTCCCGCACACACACCAGCGACGCGTCCGACATCTGGAATATCATCGATACAAAGTATAAGGTTACGTCGCATTTTACGTTTCTCCGTCTGTCTGCGTGGAATTTGCTAGCTTTGCTAAACCAACGTACCCGGCAGTAAGCCTGTAGTTGTGCTCCGATGTCGAACAGGTAGTAAGCCTCGTCCGGCACCGGCGCGCCCGCGGAGCTCCACTCCACCATTTGTTGCTCTGAAACACATAAAAAAGACAAAATGTAAATTGTAATTTCCAAAATAACCGTGCGACAACGTCATAATAGTTGCTTATGCAATTGTCTTATTAAATGAGACCATTGATAGAAAACTTTATAAAGCAAATGTATTCTCACCAAGTTTGTAATAGAGCAGGACGGTAGCGAGCTCCGCGTGTCGCGCGCTGGCGCACTCCGCGTCGCACACCGCTATCTCCAGAAGCTTCACCAACTCGCTTTCCTGTAATAATCATTGGAATGTTAGTATTATTCACTAAGTTTTAGTAGTATTCTTTATTAAATTTGCAAAACGACGGTATCCCCCAGCGCCAGGCTGTTATGTAATGGAATTTTTAATGCACTCACAGCGCAATATTATTCACATAAATTAAATAATGAGAAAATTGAAAAATTCACTAACGACCGCCGGGACTTGAACTCGGGACTGTGGATCACCGTTCCACCGCTCTACCGACTGAGCTACGGGCGCCTAGCGGACCCTGGCTGGCTGGCGCCTAGCTGGATCGTCGCTTCGAGACGAGCATCAAGAGGTTGAAAGCATAGTATAAAAAAAGGGGGGAAGTAAGTTATCTTAGAACAACCGCACCGCGCGCGGCTTGTATGTGTACGCAATAGTATCTACGCGTCGCCGCACGCACACATCTACTGGCGGCCCCGACCGAGGATGCCCGAAACGTCCCGAGATTTGTCAGTGTGTGCGTGCGGCGGCGCGCGGTGCGGCTGTTCTAAGATAACTTACTTCCCCTTTCCTTATACTATGTTGAAAGATTCACCAGGGTCCGCTAGGCGCCCGTAGCTCAGTCGGTAGAGCGGTAGGCTGTTATGCTGTTAAGGTAAGGTTACCTGTGGCACGATGTTGAGCTGCAGCTGCTGCGCCGCCGTGGCCAGCAGCGCGCGCAGCAGCCGCAGCCAGTGCAGCGCGGAGAGCGAGGGCTGCCCGTGCCCGCGCGCCACGCCCAGCTTGTCGGCGATGACGGCCGACATGCGCGCCACGTCGCGCGCCGTGCACGCCGACTGCGAGATCGAGACCAGCTCCTCCACGGACACGGTGCGCGGCTGGCCACTGCCGTGCTGGTGCGCGTGCTCCTCGATCGCGAGGTTCATGCACGACACCGTGATGCACGGCACGTGGCACGGGCGCACCTTCATCTTCGTCAGGAACCTGCACACAGAGAGATTACATTAAAATAGCTGAAACTGACCGCTTGCAGCCTAAAATGGATCGGCGGCTTAGCCGCCGGTATGTCACATTCTGACGGCTTGCAGTCTAAGATGGACCGGCGGCTTAGCCGCCGGTATGTCACATTCTGACGGCTTGCAGTCTAAGATGGACCGGCGGCTTAGCCGCCGGTATGTCACATTCTGACGGCTTGCAGCCTAAGATGGACCGGCGGCTTAGCCGCCGGTATGTCACATTCTGACGGCTTGCAGCCTAAGATGGACCGGCTTGCAGCCTAAGATGGACCGGTAACACGTCTTTTGAGAAATGCGTAATTTTGTTTGGAGTAGTAGTTACCTGTCAAACAGATTGATGGCATTGATGAGTACTTCTGTAGGCAGGTCGTACCACACCTTCAGGCAGCGCAGCACGTGCGCCGCGCCGTCGCGAGCGCCGATCGTTACCTCGTTGTTCTGTAACGCAACACTTACTATTAATGGACTGCCTCTAGAGACCATGCTTTGTAGGTCTAATTATTGAAAAAAGTTTGCTCTGCTGGGACAAATTTAACGACACCTCATTTGTCAACATTCGCCTAGCTGCTTGGGATGTAGATAGTGAAAAAAGATTTAACTTGTCCACATACATACATACATACTTCCAAATAACATGGACTTTTGAGGCAATCAGATAAAAATGAGTTTAACAATTCAGTATAATATGTTCCTTGGATAAAGTTAGGCTTGTTTACCTAGACCTCAGATTTTTTTGTATCACCTTTATATCGTTTTCATTTCAAAGGTTCAGTACCATGGAAACAATGCAAACACATTTCAGAAAATCCGGGTGTCGTTGCGAGCGAGCAGGCAGCGCGCACGGCCTCGCAACACAACCTTCGCTGTATGCAAATGTTGTGACGTCACGTGTTTATACACGGTCGTGTGTAGTGTATTTATTTGCATTTAAATACATGAGAAATCGTATAAGCAGCTATGGTAGGACAATGTTTAACCTGTTAAATTTATTCTTTGGTTCAACAACCATTTTCAAAAAGTGGGTCAAGTCAAATACTCTTTGTTCCGGTGGACCATACCCTTAACTAATTCTTAGAAAAGACTCAAAAGACTGTAATATGTGTACATGTAAATTTTTCCTACAAACCGATGTTGAAGTCAAGATTTTTTATGTCATTTCATATAGGTATAAATAACACCGGGGCAAATAAATGTACTAATTAATGAATGTCAATGAGCTAAGGTCACTAAAATGCCCTACGGCCGCGCGCCCTACTGATATTAGGTTTATTTTCACAGCAGACATTCCAGGCCGTTACCCCTACTGCCCTTCAAAACTCGGTTGCTAGCCTTGCAGGCTGACTTACTTTCTGAATTACGTGCGTGGTGGGTGAAGATGTATTTGGGTCTTATATAGGACTTTGATAAGAAACCAATATTTAAAATCGTAATTTATTCAAATCAGAACGGGCTCGCTACTATCGCATGTCTCTGTGTATGTAAAGGCACTACGCTCACATTTATTATTTCTCAACTATTTTGGGTCTCATTCTACTTGTGTCGTTGCTCGAGCATTGTACGTAACCCTTAGAGTATACAGGGAGTAACAGAAAGGGTATAACAAGCCGAAAGGAGGTCAAGGTACTCATGAAACTGAACAACTTTCCCCATGGAACATGAGTCAAAATATGAAAAATAAATTTGGGCCTCCCATAGTAAGTCAATTAGCTGATCGGCGATTTTGTATGGGAAGTCCAAATTTTTTTTTTCATATCTCGACCCATGTTCCATGGGGAAAGTTGTTCAGTTTCATGAGTACCTTGACGTCCTTTCGGCTTGTTATACCCTTTCCGTTACTCCCGGTATAAGCAAGCTATAGGGTGCGCATAAGGCCCCGCGCCGTACTGTCAAAGCATAAGCAGTTGCTCCATAGATATAGACGTCAAATGTTCAATAGTGCTGTCACTGGCGTTTTACTACTGATAGACAAAGAGGTTGTGTGCAGACTGCTACCGACCGTTAGCTTGCTTATATATACTCTAAGACGTAACCCTTCGGAGTCTCGTCTCTTGAGGGTCTCTGCTGGTGTACCGTGGCGCTGTACGTACCTCTTCAGAGTTGTGCGGCAGACAGAGCCTCGGCTGGAACTTGCTTTCTAACGCCAGGTACTCGTTAAGGGTCGCGTACAGCTGGGCCGCGTCTGGCAGCGCGTCCGTCTGCTGTGGGTCCGCAGTCGAAGTCGACGCGGTGGATGTCTCGCCAGCATGGCTGTACTTACCTCTTCAGAGTTGTGCGGCAGACAGAGCCTCGGCTGGAACTTGCTTTCTAACGCCAGGTACTCGTTAAGGGTCGCGTACAGCTGGGCCGCGTCTGGCAGCGCGTCCGTCTGCTGTGGGTCCGCAGTCGAAGTCGACGCGGTGGATGTCTCGCCAGCATGGCTGTACTTACCTCTTCAGAGTTGTGCGGCAGACAGAGCCGTGGCTGGAACTTGCTTTCTAACGCCAGGTACTCGTTAAGGGTCGCGTACAGCTGGGCCGCGTCTGGCAGCGCGTCCGTCTGCTGTGGGTCCGCAGTCGAAGTCGACGCGGTGGATGTCTCGCCAGCATGGCTGTACTTACCTCTTCAGAGTTGTGCGGCAGACAGAGCCTCGGCTGGAACTTGCTTTCTAACGCCAGGTACTCGTTAAGGGTCGCGTACAGCTGGGCCGCGTCTGGCAGCGCGTCCGTCTGCTGTGGGTCCGCAGTCGAAGTCGACGCGGTGGATGTCTCGCCAGCATGGCTGTACTTACCTCTTCAGAGTTGTGCGGCAGACAAAGCCTCGGCTGGAACTTGCTTTCTAACGCCAGGTACTCGTTAAGGGTCGCGTACAGCTGGGCCGCGTCTGGCAGCGCGTCCGTCTGCTGTGGGTCCGCAGTCGAAGTCGACGCGGTGGATGACTCGCCAGCATCCGGGTTCCTCGCGCCCGCTCTCAACATGGCGGGCTTTGGCGCGAGCGGCGGGTGAATCGGCACCTGTTGATCACCGTTCACAAGTAAATAAAAGCTGAAAGCTAAAGCTACACGTAAGTAGTCAAAATATATGAACGAAGCAAGTGGTTCACAATTTCGCCACCTCGGGAAGAGCCTGCCGTGGTGTAACGGTTAACACGTCTAACCCGCTTTGTTAGAAGACGTGGGTTCGAATCCCATCGGTAGCGTGAATTTTTTTCACTTGTTTCGTTTGTATAACAATAATTTAGAAGTAAGTTAAAGGTCACTTAGTCTCGAATTATAGTCAGCGGCTCGGTCGCAGCGGCTGAAGCGGCCGGGACGGGACGTTTGTCGCGAGTTTACAAGTCAGGGCCAAACACTGCGTCACGCGGATTTCTAGCGCGGGCTCGCAACGTGGTGGCCCTCTCTTCGAAATATGTAGGGATCGCGATATGTGCAGCGTTCCGCGCGACGCAACATAGGCTCTAAATAGGACGCGCCGTAGCGGCCGAACCGCTCACTATAATTCGACCCTTAGGCCCAATTTATATTGACCTATGTTTATTCTTCTTGTTTATTTTATTTACAACAATCAAATTGTAAGAGAATCTAGGTTCAGTTTCATGATCAATCACTCAGCTAGCTTAGCTATTCCTGTAGTCTACTTAGCCACCTTTGTAATAATTTAAATCCCGCATCAAAACGATTAAATCAGTAGTTTACAGCTCTATTTAAGGTAAGACCGGCGCACGCGCAGGGTCGTAGCGAGGTCGCATTGCATCTTTGTGACCCTCGATAGAGTTGATTCAATTGAGTAACCGCTAACTGTTACGTGAAAAACCTTGTGCGTCTTTAAAACAATTGATCAGACTACCGACGATACAGAAGTCCGTAATTTGGGAGTACATGTATAATATTAAAATACTCAAACAATAAAGGGCACAACACGCCGCCTCCGTATGCGTGACGTGCACGTCATCACGCGCATCATATCATCGTATGTGACCGCAGGAGACACGGCTCACTGCGGTATAACCTGATTCATAGAAGAAATGGACCTTGAAATGTCAAATTACAATACATTTGAGCAAGCTGTCAACAATAATGTTGCCATTTCGGGTCCCCTTCTTCTATGAATCAGGCAGTAACTACGCGTGCTGCCTCTTACGCAGTCCCATACATTACAACCGGTACACGCGTGAAGACGTGCACGCACACGAGCTGCATACGCAGGCGGTGTGCTCTGCGCTCAAAGATTAAAAGAGAAAGGTGACCTTGTAGATTATCTTGTACGCGAAGATGTGCAATAGAATAAACAACACATTTTAGGAGACGCTAATCTTGTTAGTATTATTACGATACATTATTATGAAACAGCCAATAGGAAGGACACATTCTTAAACGTCAACAAGGTCATCACATCATCAAAATAGAGGCGTTGAAGTGCGAACAGGTAACGAATAATTCGAAAAACTATAACGTTAGATATGACGTAAAATTCAATTTCAAAAATATTTTAATGGGTGAACAAACCATGAAACTGAACAACTTTCTGAAAAGAAATCTTAATGATAAGGGACAGCTCTCAAAATACTGATACAGACCATGAAATTTAACAACTTCCCAGGAAATATTTCAGGAGACAAAATTTAAGTTATTCAGTTTTATGGTCTGAATGCACCCTCATCAGTATTCGGAGAGCTGTCCCTTACCCCGGTTTATATTTTTAGCGTTTTTCTGCACCGTATCTTTGAGAAAGGAATACTAAGAAAAATATCGCTAATAACACAAAATAAAGGTCAACACTCACCTAAGCTTAGGTCGCAGTCGAGCGGCTGAAGCCTGTCGGCCTAGCAGCTGTCTGCACGACGGTAGTTGGTATGCCCGCACCGATCCGCCCTCTGCTCGACGGCCCGTTGAGCGACCGGGCGCGGGGGCCTAGTACCTGACCACAAGAGTGCGCTGTCAGCGAAAAGCAGCCAAGGTGGCCGCCAAGCGCTGAGTTTTGGGGGGAAATTGCGGGTTTTTGGGGCGGAATTCGGGGTTTTTGGAGCGGAATTTGGGGTTTTTGGTGTGGAGTCAGGGGTCTTTGGTGTGGAATTTGGGGTTGAATTTGGGGTTTCCTGGTTAAGTGGATAACTCAAGGTTACCGGGTGCAATGTCTTGTTGAAAGACAATTGCCCAGCCGCCTTCGCGCCTCTCGTGACACAGTCAGATACAATACAACAGTGGTTGAGCACTGCTGTAGGCCGGTACGCTGCGCTCGTAAGCAAGACACAGCGACAAGTATATAATAAAATATAAGCCTCGGTCTTTCCCTTTGACCCTTAGCACACACCGGATACAGAATGTATTATTCGTGCACCCTTAGTGCTATTTTTAAGTGAACCGTCGAAGGTTCCTCGCAGCAAGCGAGAGGGTCTCTTGACAGGGACAAACAACAATCAAAGATAATTGCAATGTGTATAATACCTGTAAAATGGGCATAATGAATTTAAGCTGCTGATGGTGGATGATCGATGAGAGGTTGTGAGAAAACTTCGTTTTTAAACATATTTTTGTAACCAGTGTCTTCTGTCCAAATTGTCGAATCATTGTATTTTAGTATAAAATTATCTTTATAATTTAATATGATTCTCGTTTAATCTGTGTGTGTGTGTGTGTGTGTGTGTCCTCTGTCGAACACGATATTATTTAGTGTATACAAACAAGTTGCCATTGTTTTTGAAGGTTCAAAGTTCTGAATTGAAATACATAAACATATTTTACGCTTATTTCCTATTCAACTACGTAAATACTTATTCAGTGTTTTTCGAAAACACCTCAACGAATGCACGTACAAAACAATTTTCCAAAATAATAGTACCTACATGTCATTGCCGTGGCCGATTTTGCCCGACTAAGTCGAGGTCTTCCCAAGCGAACGAGGCCAGAAATTGTTGTTTTGGGAGGAGGATAAAATAAAATAAATAAAATGTGTCCTGCCTGATAAGGTTAGCATTTTTCAAAGCAAACAATCTTTTTTTACAAACATCATTCTGATGTAAGAGCAAGATCCGTAAATAAGAATCACACCACTTGTTTACGAAACGCCTTATCAGTTCGGAACAAAAATATCTACCTTATTAAGATTACGAGATTCACGGTTCACGCCCACATACAATGAACGAGTGTGTATAAACGTGATTATCATTTTAAATCTGGAAAGACTGACTATAGGCGCGTTATCAGTTGAAGAACTTTGTACCAAAATAGTAGGTTTTGCGTGACAGAACCATGATTGGTTGATAATTTCTTGTTCATGGTCCAGATTTTCATATTTTTATACTTATATATTAATTTGCATTCAAATGGTACAATCAGCTCTTAAGTTATACAGTATACAGTAGATAACATTTTTATCAAATTCCCCATGCGTAAATCTGCATCGAATGACCTAACTTGAACTTTATACTACTCTAAATTGTTAATAACAATGTTTGAATGATTTGTGTGCCCCGAGCAAAGTTTTTAGAGGATCTATGATAGAATTTAGCATGCAGATTTGTTTAAAAAAAATAAGCCTCCAGGATACTTTTTTCCTCCGGCCGTCAGCCAGAGCGTAATAAAAAAGTTTGCACTGATGAATTTTCAGATCACTCATAACAGATCACTGAGATCACTTTTCAGTCGTAACTCGAAAAATAATGTGTCTTTTGCCTGAAGAATTATCGATTGATACCTACCTACTGTCTACGGTTAAATCACGTTCGCAGCACTTACGTATCACACGACGTGAGATAAGAAGGCTGCTATAATGCTAACTGGCTCAATGATGACGTCAAAAGCTAAATGCTGATCAGCTGATCCGATTATAGAATTGCAACCTTATTACTAGTTTACACCAGAACTCATCACATCACATAATCTAAAATACCGATATGATAGATACATAATGAACAAGCAGTTGTATTAAAAACAAAAATCCAACTGCGGTCATTTCAAAGTTATACTTTGCGTTTAAAATCCGCCATTTTTTTATAAAGTCTGTCAAGATCCGTTCAGACGTTTGGGCTGTAGCCCGTGAAAAATTTCATGTCCACGTGCATACACACATTACATACACAGGAAAAACATAACCCTCCTTCTGAGGCAGCCGGGTAAATGAAAGATGCATAGCTAGGACAACTAAACACAACTTTGTTTCACTATATATTAGTTGCAATTTATAAATTTAGACGTATTACTTTAATTGGGTTCAATACCCTCTCAAAGAAAGTGATACTGTGCTATAATTAAGACTTAGATAGAATTCAAACTGTTGACTATAAACTCACTGTTGCGTTATAATAATAACCCACATTGTAACTCGTGAGATTCTTAATATGTATTAAAATTTCAAGCGAGGGGCTGACAACCTGTCACTATTCGAAACACGATTTTTCTGAAATGGTCTTCAAATATTTGTCAAACGACTCGAACGTAGCGATAACGGCCGTTAACGCTCTGCTCTGCCTACTCCGCAAGACATAAAGGCGTGATACGTGTATGTACGTATGTAAATACTGTTGGTACTTCTTTCAAGGACTGTACAGACCTACTTAGCGAGGCGAACACGTGTAACGTACAATAGAAGATAAGCATTTAGCGCCCCACATAGATAAGTGGTTGCGTTGTATGTATTAGAATTTGTTTCTAAAAAGGTTTTCTAATACTGAACACATCCATGAAATTGAAAATAAAATGAGCGAAACATAAATTGTTTGCTTTGGTGACTGGGGAAGCCGTGTGATGCCGGCTTAGAATAGCATAGCGTCACTTTATTATACCCTCACGGGTGTCGTGTCGTAGAAAGCGACTAAAGGAAGGAATTTCTTCTTCATCTTCTCATTCAGAGAGCACTGAAGTCACCGTTCCGCCTGGTATGGCAAAGCAGCAGTGGACTGTTGGGGTTCTAATGCGCGTACCTTCAATATAATTCCTATCACTAAATTACCTAAACTACAGACGGAATTTTAAAAGGAAAGGGTCATGTACGATAAAAAATAAGTTACAATCGCGAGGTCACCTTCAATCAACCAACGGCGTTACGGTCGTTATCAGTAACGACTAACGAACTGAAATTTTCCGTTACGCACACGAAAAACATTGTACATCGAACGAAAATACCAGAACAAAAGTCAAGCACCTTTAAACTACTTTAAAGCTTGCGTCAGATAAAGTTGTTATTTTTATATTTAATAATATT